CTCTGATATTCATGAAAGTGTAATTTATCATAGAATGACATCTCACAATTTGTCAGTCCTAACTCCTGTTGTTGTTAAGTGCGGTCGAGTCAGTTCCAACCCATAACGACCCTGTATAGGTTTTCCAAGGAGCAGCTAGTGAGCTTGAACCGCCAACTTTGCAGTTCAAATGGCATTGTAGTCTGGTGCATTAATCACACAGCGCCACACCAGGACTCCTGAGGTGGGCATAATTAACTATTGCAGCCACTGACTGAGGAGGGAAGTGAAGATGGCTTCCTCTATAGAGCTCCAGCATGGCATCATGTGTGAGACCCAACCCTTGGAGCCAGCTACATCTCCACCTTGGCCCCCGAGCACCACTGCCATTCACCAGGTGTCGTCTCCCCTCAGGCCCCAGCCTGTGCTGGGCACTACTGCGGAGCCCTGCGACTGGAATCCACCTGGGGAGGTTTAGACCGGGCCAGTGCCCAGGCCTCACACAGAACAATAAAGTTCATCTCCCGTGGGATCCAGGCAGCAGTGTCGTTTTTAAAAGATTGTGCAGGTGATTCCAATTTACAAGCAAGGTGGCAACCTAGAGCCCATCAGTTTTCAATTGCTAAGTAATCCTTCTACCGGGTTAAGGTTTTGCCTCCAGTGGTTGTTTTCACTGTTTGGACTGAAATGCTAGTGGTCAGCCCTTGCTGCCTCTGGTGGCTTCCAAAGGCTAGTCTGTGGGAATTTTTAGGGCTCTTCCCTTCCTCCTCATCCCTTGGCTGCCTGCTTTGCAGCTGCTACTCCAGTCTGTGCCCTTCTATTCCCCATCTCCCAGCCCCAGCACCGCAGGTTCCACTGCACCTCCTTCCATAGTGCCTCCTGCCTTCCACAACCAAGTCCACCAGCCCTCAATGGCCCTTAAACCTCCCTGGCTCAAGTCCCTTCTTTCCCAGCTGCATTGGGGAACCACATGGATACCCTGGAAAACACATCTTACAGACACTACATGTAGCACTTCCTTATAATGGCAAGAAAAAAAGGAGGGGACGATTGGAAGGCAATCCAATATATATTTTTTTTAATTGCCAACAAGTTGACTCCAACTCCTGGTGACCCCATGTCTGTCAGAAATAGACCTGCGCTCCACAAGGAGCTCTGGTAGCGTAGTGGTTACTAATCGGGCTGAGAACCTCACGGTCAGCAGTTCGAAACTACCAGCTGTTCCACGGGAGAAAGATGAGACTTTCTGCTCCTGTGAAGATTTACGGCCTCGGAAACCCTGTACAGTGTCTCTATGAGTCGGAACCGACTCCACGGCACATCACAACAACAACAATCACATGGCTTATTTGTCAGACATCGAGCCCTTTCTTCTCAGGTGCTTCTGGGTGGAATCAAATCACCAACCTTTTGGATAACAACCCAGTGAGTTAAAACCATTTTCACCACCTAGGAACTTCCACCTAACAACAGGGAATTGATTAAATAGGTCAGTTTTGCAATATAATAGGAGATTATACACCTGTCACAGTATTATGAAGAATCATTATTTATGAAGAGAAGAAGCAGTGCTTGTCTCAGGGTCGGCCCTTTGTGGACACGTGGGCTACAATGGGAAGTGAAATAAGCAGCGTGTTGCACCACCAGGGCACCTATACTGTACTATATATAGTGTGAGCGCAACTATCTATTTATAGAGAAAACCCTGGAAGAAAATAGAGCAAAATACTAATAGTTGTTGCCTGTGTGTGGTAAGATTATAGTTGCCTGCCTTTTGTTGCTGTAATTTTATGTATGTGTTATTTTGTTTTAATTATATATTGAGCTTGTATTACTCTTGTAATCAGAGAAAAGGAGATTTTAAAACAGTAATTGGAACTATGACTGTCAGAAAGTAATAGTCCAATTACATTTTGCCTCAATCCAAGTGTGTAATGAGGAATTGCATTTCAGCAACATAGGATTAGTAGTGGTAAGTCTTGGGCTGGGGTCAGGAGAGGAATCTTTTAGGGAAATAAGATTCCTTGAAAGGGAAGTCCCCTATGAGGGGTCAGCCCATTGAGCCAGATCTGCAGAGAAAGGTCCACCCCCTTCCTCCCCCAGCCCTACTAAACCTGCTGGGGGGGGGGAACCTTCCTGAGCCTCGGTCTGGTGCTAGATGCCAATTGGCTGCCTCTTGGCCTCAGAGCACCACTAACATTTTTCTTTGTGATCTCTCTACAGATAATTAACCTACAGATAATACTTGCATTGGCTTAATAAGATGAGTTAATTGAGTAATTGTTCATTCACTAGGTGCAAGAATACTGTCATGTGATATAATCCCAGGTGTAATTGAATGTCTTCTCCTGAACTGTGACCTTTGCTTGGTCTTGTGTTTTCTACTAAAGGAAAAAGTTTGCAAACACCACCTCCCTTTTCATTAATAGGATAAAGCTAATTGCCATACAGCTAGACCCACTTAACATAACCATCAACTAAAGCTTTCTCCCTGAATTAAAAATAAAAGGCACATATTATTTTATTGCAAACCTGTTCTGAGCCAGCATATTTATAGTTGTGACAGTTGGAATGCTTTCAAATAAGGAATATCTAATTTTAAAAGTGGCTGAAATGATGGTTTATTAATTTCACATATAAAGAGGTTAGGTTGATGGGTAGCTCATCAGAGTTGTCTGTGATTCAAGCTCTTTCATTTTTCTGCTTCGTCATCCTCAAGATCTTTAAGAGCATTGGCCATACCTCCCTCCCCTCCCCTCATTGTCACAACATGGTTGCTAGAACTCCTGTCCTGATACAGGAGTCCCAAACAAGAAGAAAGAAGTGGCATCAGCACAAAACACTCCTTACTTGCCTCTCTCTAGTCAGAAAAATCTTTTTACCAGAAGTTCTCAGTGACCCTAACTGAGCCCCAGTAAAGAGGAACAGTCTTGCCATCATTGGTTTATACCAAACATGGTTCAGCCCAGGAGCTGGGAGCATTGCCCTGAAACAAAATTGAGAATATTATAAAGAAGAATAAGGAGCTCTGGTTACGAATTGGGCTGCTAACCTCAAGGTAAGCTGTTTGAAACTACCAGCTGTCCCATGGGAGAAAGATGAGGCTTTCTGCTCCCATAAAGATTTACATTTGGAGTTCTGGTGTGGTGCTGTGGGCTAATGCACTGGATTGTAAAGTCGCTTTGAACCACAAGGTTGCTCATATAAGCTCACTAGCTTAGCTGCTCCTTGGAAGCTATGGGTCAGAACCGAATTAATGGCATTCAACAACAACATCAAAGATTTACAGCCTCGGAAACCCTATGCAGGGTTGCTCTGAGTTGGAACTGACTCCACGGCACCCCATCACCATAAGGAAGAACAGGGAAAGGTTTGTGAAGGCAGCAGGGCCTATTATGGCATACAAAGCATAGTCTCCCTGGCAGGAAGAAATGGCAGTGCCCCAGTCACAAGCAATACTTATTTCACGGTTGTGCCTTTTCTGTAAGTTAGTCCTTCAAGCATCACACACATCCATACTTTATTTGTAAATCCCACAACTCTAGAGAAACATATAATCCCATTGACCATTTGTTGAGTAAAGACAGAGGCGCTTACTCCTCCTGCATCATGCGGGGATGACATCTGGTTGAATGATTGGTTTTGCATTCATTGGAGACATCTGTCACGTGCTTGTAAGCTCTCAAAGGAATAGCTCTTGTGTTCACTGTTGTTGCCTCATGTCTAGCGCCATGTGTAGCACTCAGTAGTGGCACAGTGATAGTGGACTGATGAATGAGCAGAATGATGACTGAAGATGATGTCCTCGTGGAATGTTGTCCCTGTAAGCAGATAGTGCCTTAGTGACCTGTGGAAGTGTAACCTTGGTCTCTCTCTCTAAGGAGTTGACAGACAGTAGGGTAAAATGACAGTAGCAAGGTAAGGTGCCCACTCATCCATTACTGGTGGGAATGCAAAATGATACAGCCAGTGTAGTAAACAGGTGGTTCCTCAAAATGTTAAACATAGAACTACCATATGACCCAGCATTCCTACTCCTAGGTATAGACCCAAGTGATTTGAAAGCAGAAACACAGATTCTTGTATACCATTTTTCATTCCAGCACTATTCTTGATAGCCCAAAACCAGAAACAACCTAACTGCCAGCAACAACAGATGAATGGAAAAACAAACTGTGCTATATACAGACAGTGGACTATTATGCTGGTGTAAAGAGAAACAAGTCCTGCTACATTCATCATGGATGAACCTTGAAACATGCTGATTGAAATAAGTCACAACAAGACAAATGTGATTCTACTTACATGAAATAGGGAAAGGTAGAGATATCAAGGCTTATTAATGGTTGAGGGGGATAGGTCATTGCTTGGGGATATTGCGTTTCTGTTAATGATGTTGAAATCATTTAACAACAGATTAGTGATGATGGCACAACACAACGAATGTAATCAATGTCACTGACTTGCATATGTAAAAATAGTTGAATTGGCAAAAACTTTGTCATATATTTTTACCACACACACACAAAGAGTAAAGTGCCAAGGCAACGTGTGCCAGAGTGGTGCCCTAGGAGCCTTCGACATGTCTGCTTGGGGCACAACCAGAGAAGGAACCTTCCAGGACTCAATGACCAACATCCACTTGTCCTTGGTTACTGTACCTTTTGATAAATGCCTTTTGTGTTGAGACCACAAGAATGTTTTATCTGCTAAAATTTACTTGAGTGTGTGGAAGAAAGAAGATCCCTTCTTTAGTCCTCTTTCTGTAACTTTTAGAGAGAAAGAAAAGTCATGTTTCACTCTCCTCCCTGCTAGTTGTTAAAAGGAGGAGGAAACAAGGGTTTCATTTGGTTTGAATGGTGTTTAATGATTGACCAAGGGGTGTAAACGGCTTTCCCAAAAGGTGACAGTTTGCTCTAGATGGCAAGGACTATTAAGACAAAGTGTTGTTGGTCACCTTTTACAAGAACCTTCATTCCTGCCTATTTTTGTTCTTCAAGTTTTGTTTTACTTTCTTTTAGACCTAGAAGGTTTTGACTCCGTGGTGTCATCTACTGAGAAACTCAGTCACCCAACCACCAGCCGACCAAAAGCCACGGGAAGGCGGCCTCCATCCCAGTCCCTCACTTCCGTAAGTGTCTCCTCCCCTTCTCACAGACTTCTTCACCCCTGAATAGCAGGGACAGTTAAAGACTCCAGCTAAGGACCCTTCTGCAAGTGACTGCTTGGAAGATAGCCGGGAGAGGAAGGGCATGAGCTGTCCAGCTAGCCAAAAGTGATTCTTCTTGGATCCAGCAGCTTATTATGTATTTGCCAGAGATGTGGGTGCTTTCCACTCCAACTTCCTTTTCTCCTCTTCCACACTGGTCCTTATTTCAATCTGGCAAGAGACTACTAAGGGAGACAGTGTCCTATTTTTGTGATAGAAAAGGAGAGAGAGACTGATTAGGTCTGTAAACAAAACAAGACAAAACCAAAGAGCTACCACTGGAAAGTGTTAGCCAATGGCTGTCCCTCTGTCTCCCAAAGCCCTGCCATGGATGCCCCTTCACTGAACCCTACACACCTTCAGGAGCCCATTAAGGGGGTTTTGTTGTAATTTTAAGAACTACCTTTCTTATTGCAAACCAGTTGCACATTTAGTTTACCACACTTGAGCAATGAAAAGCATAAAGAAGAAAGTAAATTACCTATAAGTCTGCTCTCCAGGACTGAGCTGCTAAACTATTGCTGTCATCCTTACTGGGATCTATTATTATTATTATTTATAAATATAATTTTTTTTTTTTAAATGGGATCACCTGGCACCCAATGTTTTGGAACTTATTTCCCCCACCCAGATTTATACCACTTTCTCCCCAATCATTAAACATTCCATAACATGACACTTAATGGATTCCAGTGTTAGTACTTTGAACATGTCAGGAGAGACCAGCCCCTGGAGAAATAAGTCACAACAAAAAGGACAGAATGCTTGCTAAAGTGGAGGGTCGGCAAAAAAGAGGAAGCCTCCAAGGAGCTGGATTGCTACAGTAGCAACAGCAGTGGCTCAGATGGAACACTGGTTGTGGAAATGGCCCAGGACCAGGCTGTGTTTCGTTCTTTTGTGCACCTGGCAACAACAGCAGTGTTCTAATCTACAGATACTGGAGAGGATCTAGCCAGTGCACTATTGTTGGGAGTTTGTGTTCTTTCTAAATCTTCATTATAAGGACTGAAGTCAGTGTCATTTTTGAAAACTTTTGGTGCTGCTCCAAGTGATTCATTTGGGTAAAACCATTCTGAATGTGGTTCAAAGGCAGTGCAGGCTTTGTTTTTGTCACAGGTGGCAAACTTGCCCTCCACATTTGCCTCTTATAAGCAGATCTTCTTGTCTTTATTTGGTGAGCTACTCTATGGCCTAGTGACCCCTATGGACCCACCTCAGGGCACCAAGAAATGAACTTTTTGCGGGTTTCCCAGGGACACTCTCTTCACATTTCAACCCTGAGCCCACCTAAGCTGTCATCAGTATGTCATGGTTTTTGCTGACTCTGAACGTGTGGGTTGATTTGAGTTGTCCTACTTTTCCTCTTGCGTGAAGCAAGCCTCACCATATATTGACACCTTTTGGGGAGAAGGACTTGGAAAAGTGGTTTCCTTTTCCACCCTTACATAGAGCTCTGTGTCAGTAACACCTTCTTCCCCGTCCCCCTCTACCTCTTCACACACCCCCAGCACCCCTCATATACACACAATCTGTTTAATTCTTCTTGTTATTGTTGTTAAGTGCTGTTGAGTTGGTTCAGACTCATGTTGACCCTGTGTAGAGTTTCCAAAGAGCAACTGATGGGTTTGAACTACCAACCGTGTGGTTCACAGTCCCGTGCTGATTCTACAGCGCCACAATAATCCTACCTCCTCCATCTTCTCTATAAATCTTTCACCCTTTTTATTTTCCTTCCAAAATCTTCCTAACTTTTCAAGGTCAAAAGAACCTTGAGATTTCCAGAATTCAGTGCAAAGGTTCAAATTACTACCCCTACGTCATCCTTTGGAGTACTGGTATGGCACTGTGGGATAATGCACTGGACTGCAAGGTCAGTTTGCACTGCAAGATCAGCGGTTCAAATTCACCAGTCACTCCTCAAAAACCCTGTACTACAGGGTTGCTGTGAGTCAGAACCGACTCAATGGCACTTAACAACAACAACCTCATCCTTTAAGGAGCCCTGGTGGAGCATTTATTCAGTGCTACGCTGCTAACCCAAAGGTTAGCAGTTGAAACCCACCAGCCACTCTGCGTGAAAAAGATGTGGCCGTCTGCGTCCCTAAAGATTACAGTTTAGGAAACCCCGTGGCTCGGTTCTACTCATCCTATAGGGTTGCTGTGAGTCACACTTGACTCAGTGGCAACGGGTTTGGATTTTTTGCTTTTGAGTTGTTCTTTTATTTTGTTTTACGTCACCCTTGGTTCCTGTATCCCATGTCCGAAAGTTCCTTCCTGTGGATTTTAGGGAATGCAGTAAAAGCATCTTGTCTTTATTCTATTTTTAGACTACATGTTTGTTGCTCATTCAATAATAACAAATGAGGAGACTTCAGAAAGTTCGTGGGAAAATGACATTTTTTGAAGCCCCCTTTGTATTTACTGGCATGCTCTGCTTTGTGCTCAGCACTATGCCAGCCCCCAAGGTTACATCTGAGGGTGAGATGCCCAAAGGAAGCTGACAGCACAGTGACTTGAAGTTTATATGGAGCAGACTTAGACAACAGGATAGATTGGTACTTAAAATAAACACAATTACTATACTCTCTTCTCCCCTTCTCCTTTCCCAGTAGATTTTTCATAGCAAAGTGGGATTCGGAAATGTAGGCATATTTCATAAAAGGGGGAAACTGATTAAGGAAATGTACCAGTCATGATTCCCCAGCTGGTAGCCTTTCACTCTAGTTAGAGCTATTTACATTCATAGGATTCAAAGAGCATGAACCAAAGGCTGTTTAGGAGAAGACCAACTTTTTATTTTATTTTTTTTTAATAGAATCTCAAAATTTCAAGGTGGTTAAGCTTGAATGAAGATTAACAAACAAGACCTCTAAAATTTTTTAATTTACTTAACTGATTCCCTAAAATGCATTAGTAAGTAAACAGGACAAAGCAAACAGACTTGATAGCCAGGATTGTTTTCTGTTGGTTCTGAGTATTGACTCTAAATAGGACTCTCCTCCCATAGTGAGTAGAAAGCTTGGAGGGGAGCTCACCCAAAGATATCTCTGGAAGATTATTTGTTGAAAAAGAATCCTTGCTTTGGGAACTCTTATTTTCATCTGCTTTGTACGAAACTAGGAACATTCTAGTATAATAATCATTTAGTACAATAAGTGAATTCCAGTGAATTGTCTGTCTCACATTCATCCAGCTCATTTGATCTTTGTGGTGAAGCCGAGAGGGCAGGCATGTTACCCTGCTACGCTACTCCATTTTGTGAATGTTGTTGTTGTTAAGTGCCGTCAAGTCGGTTCCAACCCATAGCGACCCTGTAGAGGGTTTCCATGGAGTGACTGGTGAGCTTAAACCACCAACCTTGCAGTTCAAACTGACTTTGCAGTCTGATGCATTAGCCCACAGTGCCACACCAGGACTCCTCATTTTGTGAATATACCTCAGCAAATATAGAATCCAAAATGGATGCTAATTGTCAACAGTGATGACCCCAGAATTTACCAGCAGGTGCCACATGAGATGTGCTTGCTAGGCTGGCAGTCAGATCTGTGCTCTCAGGCTCTGGACACTGAGCAGCAGGCCTATTGATCCCTTTCCCCTGGAAATGGGTTCCTCTCAGCCAAGTCCTTTCAGGGCCCTTCAGTAGGAAGCAGATTTCATGATCCCAGAAAGGGAGTGGGAGGGGATGGAGTAGAGGACAGCTAGAGGCCACCTCCTGTTGACTTGTCTGTCCTTTTCCACTGGACTGTCAGCCCTAGGATGGCAGGAACCATCTGTGGCATGTGCACCATTCCATCTACAGTATCGTGCTTGGTGCCTGTTCCACAGATATTTATAGAAAGAAGGGAGGGATCGGGGCGGATGGATGATGAAATGGGTGAATTAATTGATGGGCATCAGTGGAAAGAGTCCAGGTAGCTGTGTGTCTGCCTCCTGGGGTTATAGTGAAGAAACAAAATAGAAGCACTGAAAAGTGCTTTGACAAGTATACAGCAATTATACTAAGGAAAGCGCCAGCAGCTAAGGTATAATTCTAATTCTAACTGCGTTTTCTTTTGACCTTATCCAGTCATCGCTCTCAAGCCCTGATATTTTTGACTCTCCAAGTCCAGAAGAAGACAAAGAGGAACACGTTTCACTTGCGCACAGAGGAGCCGACGCATCAAAGAAAACTTCAAAGACTGTTACCATATCCCAAGTGAGTGACCAGCCATAGCTAGGTGTCTGGGCAACAAAGGAGCCTTGCTTTTTCTTGCAGGCTTTAAACACAGGCTTTGAAGAAATACATTTACAACACACTCTTCTCTTCCCTTCATTCCCACCCTTTTCCATATGGATGTGTTCATTGTAAACCAAACAAGGATGGACAGAAAGTGCAAGCATTTGTCATTTTTTAGTGACAGTCTTGCCCTTAGTCATCAAAATCCCTGAGGTATCTTACAAAGCCTCCACAGCTGGGAAGGATCCCTGAGGTACAAGTTCAGTGTTTGTTTATTCCCCATGTTCTTTTCTCTTCTGGTTCAACTTCCTCTTCATACTGTCAAGCACACATACACAGATGTCTGTACACACACCACACAACAGCACACACCACCACGACCACCACTGTCACCACCACCGCTTCCATCACTTCCATCACCAACAACCCAGACAACTTTAAAAGCCTACAGGTGCCTAGAACGACTATACTAATACAGTAAATACTATGCCTTCTGCCCACAGTATCTTGACTTTTATGTTCAAAGCTGGTGGTGTCAGAAAATATAGTGATCAAATAGTAAATGCAAATAACAAATGGGATCTCTTCAAGAAAAGCTGATTTGGATTTGGCTTTTAGGCTGTACTTTAATAGTCTGAAAGCATTTTAATTTTATTCAGTGTCCAGAGGATGGTATTTTTTAAGTTACTGGTTGATGAGAAACAAAGAAAACATTGTTTAGGTACTGTGTGTGGCTTTGGAAGTACGCCCTATACAAATTCTCTTTTTCCAATGAATAAGAACCAAGATTTTAAAATTCTGTTTTCTCACATTAAGAGAACGCAGTCAATTGGAGTTATTTTTTTTATAAGCATTAGCAACGTCTTTCTGTTTAAAAGCAGGAAACCATAGCCATGTTTGATCAAAGGTTATGTGGGGTTTTAGTTTACATAGATTTAAGAATTTACAGGTATGGGTTTTCTTAAATAATAAGATACAGTGAGCAAAACTATGATCCTATTAAACTGATCAATTATAATTATTTACACACTGAATTCTCCAGCCATCAAAGGCTTCCGTTTGCAGAAATTTGGTTTAGGCCCCCTGCTTTCTGGTAACTCAGGAGCCAGACCTACAGTTTTGGTCTCTGCCATCCCTGGGGTGTGTCTACAGTGACACCTACTGGTAGAAAGCAGTTTTTCACAGTTCTGATGTGTTCTGTTCTTGGCTTCTAGAAATTCCACTGGGACCAATTAGTTTAGGGGGTGCGATAGCCTATACTCTTCAAAGCCTTATAAAAGTTAGCTGCAAAGGGACCAGGAGAATGAGCCCTGTAGGAAATGTTCAGTGATTAGAGAAATGTACCTCAGTGTAAGGGCAATGGATGGTTGGAACAGGTAAAAAAGGATGCAGGAAAAACGGGACACAGGAAAAGCCAGAGCCCAGGAATAGAAAATAAGCAAAGAAAAGAGGAGCCTTACAGTGTATATCTTCAGACAACATTAGCCATAGTCACACTGGGAGCCAGGGGCCGCTTGATAGAGGAAGGAACTAAACCCCATTGTTCTGCCGGTATCTTAGCTGTGAGACTTAAAGGGTTACTCAACCACCTCTCTAAGCCACAGTTTCCTGCCTGGTGAAATGCATGGTCTGTTGATCTTCATTTGAATTGTCTAGTCCATGATCAGGCCTCCTCATTGTCAGTGTTAATTCTTCTTCCCATGGACTCTTAACTTGTAGTGACATGGAGGCACCGCATGCTGGATGTCGAGAGCACTCTCCTCAGTGGTCACTTGATAAAGAGAAAGTGGGCAGTGGACAGGCAAGCAGAGTGACTGGGAACCATGGCCCATCTGCCTTCACTCCTTCTGCCAGGCTTATGCCTCTAGCACAGCCGGAGCCCACTCTTCTTCCTCATCCTGCCAGCCCAGCCCCTTCTTGGCTCCTTGGGGGGCCTAGCAGGCTGAGTATATGCTAATGCCAACCTTTACCACCAGCCTCAACTCCTTCCTGTCACACACCTAGAGGCAAGACAAGACAGAAGGCAGGAATCCATGTGCCCATCCTAGCCTGTGACCCTGTGACCATCCCTCTACCTGTGCCATGAGTCCTCCCTACCTGTCATGTCCATATTCAGCCTGATCCTCCAATGACTCTTTCTCAGAGCCTATCATCTTTAGAGGAGTCCTGGGGTGGCACTGTAGGATAAGCTCTGGACCACAATGCCAGTTTGAACTGCAAGGTTGATGGTGCAAACTCACCACCCACTCCTCAGAAACCCTATACAGGGTCGCTCTGAGTTGGAACTACACTTAACAATAACAGCAGCATCTTTGAAAGCAAACAAACCCCTTCCTTGACTGGAGGCTACTGCATGGACACCCTCTGTCTCCCATCTCCTTCGTCTCTCAAAAGAGAGCCCTAAATTTGCAGGCCTGCCATCATCAGCTTTCTGTCCCTGTTGCTCTTCCAAATGGGTTTCCCCAGTTTGGCTTTCAGCACCCTTGATCCACTTATTCTACCAATTTTCTTTCTGGAAACTTCTCCAGGAGGCTTCCATAACTCAGGTGCTTCTTTTGGTCTTGCTGCATCCTCTCTCACTATTCTTTCCCTACCTCTTAAATTTGCAGATTCTTCAGAGTGTCATCTTTGGGCCTCTTCTCGTCTGTCTTTCTATTATCCACCCTGCCCACCCAGTTTCCACCTCTCTTGGTGAGTTCTTTAGCCCAGCTCACCTCTCAAATGCTGACTATGCCCAGGAAACATGCCCCCTTGGCTAACCCTCTGGTTCCTAAAACTCAAAGTGCCTGAAACTTCCATCTTCATCATTGGGACCTTCAGGGTGCCCTTCTTGCCCTTAAAGGTGCTCCTCAATGCCCTGCTTCCTCTATCCCACCCATGGTTCTTGAGCTTCACTTCCTCCTTCACACCTACATTCTGCTGGTCACAGTGGGTCTTTTCCATAAGACACGGGCAGCCCACTCTTCACCTGGCACCCAAAGTAGCGGTCGGCACTCTCCAGTGGATGAACTTGCTGCTTGCATTTCTCCATCCCTTGGCCACTGCCTAGGTCCAGCCCTCACTGTTTCTACCTTCCATTATTGGAGAGGCTGTCCGCTGGTTTCCCTGCCAACCTCAAGGTTTGTATAGCCAGCGCCACGTAGCCGGACAACACACTCTTTTTTAACACTTCACCAAGCCCCTGTTACTGCCCACCCCATCTCCCTCCTGTCTCTCTGACATTCCAGCTCTGCTAAACCACCTGCTTCTAGAAATACAGTTTGTTCTCCAGTCTCTAGGTCTTTGCCTCTGAGGTTCTCCCCTCCTAGAAAATCCTTCTCCAGCCATCCCTGCTTTCTCCTGGCCACCTCTTAGTCCTCTTCCAGGATGGGTCTGTCTGCTCCTTATCCAGATGGCTGGCTCTTTTCATTTGTTTCCATAAGGGCCCTGACTGCCTGCTTCCCTCCCTCTGGTAATTCTTCTTCCTCAGCTGCAGTCTGATATCTGTCTGTCTGCCTGCCTGCCTGCCTGCCTGCCAGCACTTCTGTGGGTTCTGAGCAACTTGAGGGCCAGAAGAGTGTCTTGCTCACTTTCAAGTTTGAGGAACCTGATGCATAGCTGGGCTCTGTGCGTGTACACTGAACCAGTTAGCAGCAACCTGCCTCAAAAGGTGGTCAAACATAAAATATATGGAAGAAAGCACTTGAAGGGGGGCTGCCTGCACCAAACGGGCCCTTGGTGGTTGTAGAGGAAGCAAAGAGTGAGTGGGAGCTTTGGAGAGAGGCAGGAGTGGTGATGAGCATGGAGAGTTTGCTCCCCAGGACAGGGGCACAGCCCACACCTTCCTGGCTCTGACCCTCTCTCTCCCCCTTCTTTACAGGTGTCCGAAAACAAAGCTTCCCTGCCACCCAAGCCAGGGACCATGGCCGCAAGCGGCGGGCCAGCCCCGCTGTCCGCCACAGTGCCCTCCCCTCTGTCATCCTCTTTGGGAACAGCTGGACACAGAGCCAACTCCCCATCTCTGTTTGGCACCGAAGGAAAACCAAAGATGGAGCCTGTGGCCAGCAGTCAGGCGGCTGTGGAGGAGCTGAGGACGCAGGTCCGGGAGCTGAGGAGCATCATCGAGACTATGAAGGACCAGCAGAAGTTAGTGGCGGGCCCTTCCTCCCTACCTGAGTGGCTCCCTGGACTCCCAAAGGAGCCTGGGGCCTCCTTGTGCTGGAGGTCTGGGGTGGGCAGCTGCATGTTTACACTGGAGCTGTTGTGTGCAGGAGGGATACGGCTGGGATGGGTTGTGCACGCGTGAATCAATTCTGGGACCTGACACTGTCAGCAGGATGCTAAAAAGGACAAACTCTCATACCACTTATAAAACCGTGTTCCCATGCACCATTTCTCAATACATCCCACAGCCAGTTTTCCCTCCAGTGCCAGCAAACTTGCAGATGAACCAATGGACTTGCATATAGGGGCCTTATTGCATGAAAAAGATGTCAGGCACCTTTAAATCTGAGACTTTACGCTCAGCAAGGTGTTTTTGCTGCGAGACTGTAAGGGAGTTTCTGTATTCATTTCCCCTGAGAGATGTGGGGAGAAAGACCTGTAAACAAAAACCAGTACCATACTAGGTGTCACAGGAATGCCATGTACAGTGATCACATCGGTGGAAGAGTCAGAAGCTGGCAGCCCTTAGCTAAGGTCAACTGAGACTTGCAGAGTTTAGGGTTCAGTCAGCTCCGTCTTGAAGGAATCAGGAGGGGCATCCTATGATGTTTCCTGAGGAGGGGTTTAAAAGATGACCTAGGACTGCCAAGAGTCCTGAGAAGCAGAGGGACAGCAAGGTTCAGGGCCACATGGGGCAGCCTTGGATCATGAGGTACCCAGAAACAATGACAGGGCCTCTTCACCCCCTTCTCAGTCCTCTGATTGGGAGATCAGATACTGTCTTAGTTATCTAGTGTTGCTTTAACAGGAACACCACAAGTGGGTGTCTTTAACAAACAAATATATTCTCTCATAATTCAGAAGACTAGAAGTCCAAATTCAGGGTGATGACTTTTCCTCTTTGCCAGTTCTGGGGAAAGATCCTTGTCATCAATATTCCCCTGTGTCTAGGAGTTTTTCAATTCAGGGACCCTACATCCACACACCGCTCTGGCTCTTCTTTCTTGATGGGAGTCATGTCTTTCTCCCTCTGTTGCATCTCTCCCTTTTATCTCTTCTAAGATAAGAGGTGATGCAGGCCACACCCAAAGGAAACTCCCCTTACATCCGATTGAGAATATGACCGGAGTAAGGATGTTGCATCCCATCCTAATCCAACCAACTGACTGACTGATCACATCATGAGATTACATAATTGCCAAATTACATCCTTACGTAACTGCCACGAGACGCATGGCCCAGCCCAAATTAGCACACATTTTGGTACGACACAATTCATTCTGCCCTTCGGACTCCAATAATGATGCCCTTGCCACACGCCAAACATTTTCATTCCATCATATCATCCTAAAAGTCTTAAATCAACTCCAAACCCATATTCCATCCTGGGATAAAATTCTTCTTCATTTATGAATCTAGAATACAAGTTACTTGCCTCCAAAGTACAATGGTGGAATAGGCACAAGTAGACATTTCCATTACAAATGGGAGAAATTGGATGGAAAGTAGTAATAATAGGCACCAAGCAAGTCAAAACCCAGTAGGACACTTTACATCCGCTCTCGAGGCTTGGAAATAATCATGTCCTCTGAGACCATCTTGCAGTGGGTAGGCCCTTCAGACTCTGGGTTTGGCCATACTCTCTGAATTCTGGGAGAAGGCCCCTCAGCCCTGGGATTCAGCTCTGCCTACCAGGCCCACTGTGACAGCAAGTCTGTTCCCTTGGTGGCCTCTTTCTCATAGCCCAACTGAGTGGCAACTTCATCCTCTCAGTCCTGGCAGACCCTGTTCTTTTGCCCCTTGGGCATAGCACTGGCCCCTCAGCTCTGGGTAGCAGCTCCAGCCCTATCTCCCTGGTACTAGTGGATGACAGCCCCACACTCTGGAACCGAGTTGATGAAGGTTTGATGCGGAAGCTTAGGAGGCTGTGATTCCACCTTTGAGACCCACAGAGGTCGTGGTCTTATCTGACCAAGGCAGCTCTGCTTCTCATTTTCATTGTCCCTTCAGCTACTGCTTCCTGGCTCCTTGGCCTCTTGGGCCTCTGTGGCTGGCCCAGCTTCTGTCCTGCTTGGGCAAATGTTAAAGCTTCTTTGCTGATAAGTATCCAGAGGCGCACCACTCCACCAGTAAGTCTTGGCCCCAAAGCACTCAGCTGTCTCACTCCATGAGTCTGCAAGACTAGCTACTTTGGCCAGTGCCTGGAGGCACCGCACTCTCCCAGGAAGCCTTCTGCCCAAAGTCACTCAGCTCTTCTGCACTGTGGGGCAGTTCCTGGGCCATCTCATGCTGATCTCATGCCGGTCCCATGGTTTGCTGCTGCTGCTTGCTGTCTGTGCCATCTCTGGTGTTTCAGCTCTCCTCACTTTCTTCTGAGCCTTCACCAGAATTACCTCTGATGTCCAAAATTCCACCAACAATCTTCTTCCAGGCAATCTAGGCTCTTAACTATTAGGCACTTCAAAATTCTTCTAGCCTCTACCTCATTACCTAATTCCAAAATCACTTCCATATTTTAGATGTTTGTTAGAGCAGCATCCCACTCTTCCTGCACCACATTCTGCCTTAGTTATCTAGTGGATGGCATTAACAAACTAATACATTCTCTCACGATTTAGCAGGCTGTAAGTCTGAATTTCAAAACTACCAGCTGCTCCACGGGAGAAAGATGAGGCTTTCTACTCCCGGAAGGATTTACACCCTCGGAAACCCTGTACAGGGTCGCTATGGGTCGGAACCGACTCGACGGCACGTAACAACAACAAACAACAAGTCTGAATTTAGGGCACCAGCTCTAGGGGAAAGCTTTCTCTCTCTCAGCTCTGAGGGGAAGGTCCTTATCATCAATCTTTCCCTAGAGCTTGGAGGTTTTCAGCCCAGGGATGCCTGGTCCAAAGGACATGCTCTGTCTGCTCTTGGCTCCTTTTTCTTGGTACCAGTCATGTCCTCCTTCTTCACTTAGTTCATCTCTTTTATATCTCAGATGAAGCCTAGTCTTACAGAGTTCCTGCCTTGTTAATGTAACTGCACTGATCCCACCTTATTAACATCGTAGTGGTTAGGATGTACAATGGTCTGTAGGATAAGCACTGGACTGCGGATCCACCAGCTGCTCTGTGGGAGAAAGATGAGGCTTTCTGCTCCCACAAAGATTTACAGCCTCGGAAACCCTATACCAGGTCACTATGGCCAGATCTGACTTGATGGCATTTAACATCAACAGGATAATAACATCAGATCACAAAATGAGGATAATTACATAATGCTGAGAATCATAGCCTAGCCAAGTCAACATGTATTCTGGGGGACACAATTCAATCCATAATGATTAGCAGTTATTAAGATTACCCAGCTGAAGGGTGTGCCAGCCACATCAGCCTGAGATGCTTGTCCTTTCTGGAAAGTCTTCATTTTTGCTGGATTTTTCTTCCTTCTCTCCGTGCCTTATCCTCCTCACTCCACACCACATCTCTCTTGCCTTCTCCCCATCTTACCGTGCCTTCCCTCTTCCTTTTCTACTTCCCGCTGCTCCCAGTCCTCAGTCCTTTTACTTGGCTGTATAAGTTGTAGATACCATCCATGATCCCACTGGTTGTGCAAAAGGGCTGATTTGTCTGACACAAATAATCCAAATCTCCGGGGCTGAGAAAGGGACTTGACCCCCTCAGCAGATAGTGTCAAGGAGAGCTTTAACTTCATCTGCCTTTAACTCTCAGGGCTGTTTCTGTTCCCAAATTCTGGTAGAACCCTTATTCTCTTACGGATTGGCAACTCGGGAGCGTTTCATGCAGGCTATCAGCGCAGTGATGAGACCCATGTCAGCCCTTCTGTCCAGATGCTTAAAGTAAAAGGGTTTTTTTTCTCTTCCTTTAACATATCTAAGGAGCCCTGGTGATGCTGTAGGATAAGCACTGGACTGCTAGCCACAAAGTCAGCAGTTCAAACTCTCTAGCTGCTCTGTGGGAGAAAGCTGAGGCTTGTCTGCTGCTATAAAGATTTACAGCCACGAAAACTCTATCCAGGGTCACTGTGAGTCAGACTCAAATCAATGGCAGTGGGTTGGGTCTGGTGTTCATTTGATACATCTGGATGCAGACTCTTGACTCTAATACTAATCACCTGAAGCAAATAATTCTGACACCAAGAGTGCCTCTTGTGGAAAGGGGACTAACTAGTGGTCTTCTAGCATGTGTAGGGTGGTTGTACCCAGCCCTGACCCAACCCAGGAGCTCCTGCTTAGAAGCTGCTATTGGTACCAACCCATTTCCTGTAGGCATGACCTCAGGATGGAGAACAGTGGCATCCCCAAGCTTGGTCACTCTTGCTGTGGTCACCCCACCTCCACTACTACCACCACTAGACCTCCTCCTGCTCCAGGAGCCTGTGGGAAAAAGTAGTGTTCATTCCCAAGGGAGTGCCTAGGTGGGGCCGCTGTTTTGCCTGCAGCTCTGAGTTCCAGGGCCTTGGCTGACCCCACCATACTGGTGCCTTCCTGCCTCCCTACACTACTGGTGGGCAAACAGGACCATCATTGGCTCAGACAGGCCTTAATTCAGGGTATCAGCCCTTTTGACCCCAACCTCTGATTTGCTGAGAGGAGGCTGGAATTTGCACAACTAAAATGGCCCCAGCCTGCCTCTAAGCTTAACACCACTGGTGCTCCCTTCCCCTCTCCCCACACCTCCCATAGTTGGCTAGGATCATCCTGCCCCAACCAGCATGTTTAATCAGTACCTTTCGGGAGCCCTCCTACAAGGCCTGCTTCTCCCAGCTTAGATCACTGGGTCCCCACAGGCTCCCACATTAGCTCTTAGTGTCACTTTCAGCCTTTACCTCAAGTCTGCACGGACTCCTTTCCCTGACCCCATGAGCTGTCCTCCCCTCCCTGCCTCTGCCTCAACTCCTCTCCATCACAGTCCCTACCTTCTTCCTCTCTGTGGACTTTCACCCAATTTTGGTGTTCTAGACTTAGTGACTTTCTTGGGAACGCCTTCCACTGTTAGCTCCTCCAAGCTGGATGACTTGGGACTTTGCCTGCTGTAGTTTCTCTGGGGCTGTGAGGTTTGCTCAGTAATTCATCTTCTACTTCTGCACCCTAAATGGTGCTTCCTAAGATTCTGGTGCAGTAATGAGTGACAGCAGATTCATGGTGATAACCTGACATGTTGACAACATGTGCCAAGCATAGGGACCACCATGGCATTCGTCTCAGCAAGCAAATGCCCTGTAACGTCCACCTTGTTCACCCTGCTGCTTCTGCAGCCTTGGCGTCTTGATTTTTCCAACTTTGTTTGTAAAAATCTACATGTGAAATGGAGTATTTAATACCTCAAAATGATGGAGAACGGCTTTTCTGACACTGTTTTGATGAGCCCTCAGAGAAATGATTGGTTTTATGCCACTTCATTGTTTAATGTCTAGAAGAGCATTAGATTGTGTAGCTCAGCTGCCGCCCTCTTCCTCGACAACATAGCTGCCAAATCTCGAGACTTCAGATATTTTACCCCCTAAATTTTAGGATATTGCTATTTACAGGATGTTAAGAGAATCCGTGAAAACATACCAGTAGCCTCTTGTTAATTTAAAACCCTATGAAAAGAAAAGGAATAAAATTGATTATGTAAGAGCATTTAAAGATTCTCAAAGGAGCAGTGAGCAGGAAGACGACAATCTGAGCCTGGACACCCCGAGTCTAGTCCCTGGCAAGTCAGACTTCACCTCTGAGCCTCAGTTTCCTCATCTAAAAGGGAAGGTTTGGTCTAAGGAGTCTCAAAGGCCATGTCCATACCTAACTTTTTTTAGCACCATGTTTTGGAAGTCAAGAAATAGTGGCAAGCCTTGCTACCAGCAATAAATTTTCAACAGCAGTGCAAATGTTATCTATTTTTTTTCTTTGTGAAAGGGTCAGGTTTATTGTGCAGTGATAGTAAAAGGTTTCTTCTCGCTCACGAAAGAAGTCTGGGCCTGGTTTTAATTTCATTGCTGTTTGCTTTTCAGACGAGAGATTAAGCAGTTATTGTCAGAGTTGGATGAAGAGAAGAAAATCCGTCTTCGGCTCCAGGTGGGTCCCTCAGAGTCCTGCTGCCTATGAGGCCTAGAGATTCAGTTGGGTTGGGCCAGTGTCAAAGCTTGAATTTGAAAATAAATGATTATTTCACTGTAGATTTGTAAACACTTGCTGTGACAATTTTCTTAGAATTGAAGAGGTTTCACTTCCTTTCTGGGATCCAGGAAGTCTTGGGAAAGGGAGGCATTTAGTAAACCTGCCCCCAATTGGTTTTCTCATCTGGGATTTATCTGAAACATCTGCTCTGTGGAATTTCTGCCAGTTTCCAGGAGACAACAATATAGTAACTACTAGGCGTGGCACTAGGAAGGCCCTGTTGCCAGCTGGCTCTGTCAAGTGGTCACTGCGCCTCCAGGGACCACAGCTGTCCACACTTGCTCTTCAGCTCTTTATTTCTCCCGGATGGGCATGTCACCCCTGCCAGGACCTCAGAGCTCTAATCTCTGATGCAAATCGATTCACAAATGGCAGAGTCTGTAGGAGTCCATCTTCAATGCAGTTGGAAACTTCAGGGGTGAGTGGGATCCATGCTTCTTAAAGGTAGGCTAGGACCTGCTCATCGTCACTTTCGGGATTCTGGCAGGCCCTCAGGCCCAGCCCAACACTGCCAGATGATCTGGCATTTTCTGTAGCCAGGGAAACGACTCGTTGCTACTTTGGACAAATTTTGGATGTTGGCAGCCTGAGAGAGCAGGTAGTCACTGTTTCCTGGTGCCTGGAGTCTGTGCACCAGGCATAGGTCATTTGACGCTTATCTTTCAGAGACTAGAAATCCCACCAACTCCATATGACTTTGTGTGGTTCTCTTTTCCTTTCCAGATGGAAGTGAATGACATAAAGAAAGCTCTTCAATCAAAATGAATACTTGATCAATGAAACGTTGCATTATCCATCCTGAGTCAGAGACTCAAATTTTCCACCCCAGCCAAAATAACCTTGTGCCAAAAGATGAAAGGTTTGCCTCCACATGTCCCTGTTTGACAGATTAGCACACAAGTCTTGATAGCACAACACAAATTCCATCCAAGAGGAGAATGTGTCCCATGGCTTCGTCCTGGGACTGGCACTTCCACAGAGCAAATTGTGCTACAGGCTTTTCTATCTTGAGATCTCACGCGAAACGAAAACTCAGGCAGTTTAGTCCATAGTGGTACTATTTTGATGATATTTTCCATGAATAAAATGTAATTTCCGATTCTTCGTTTACAAGCTTTATAAGTTTTTGATTTTTGTAACCGTGTTTTGTCACTGACCCCTCCAGTGTTTGTACTACACATAAGTCAGGAGCGAGTATCCCCTTCTATTGCTTCAGGCCACAATCTGCCTCGCTTTGGGTTCCCCTTGAGGATTCTATTACATATGCAAGTTTAGGTCTAACCCATCCCATCCCCCTGCCAACAAAGCCTACCATCCTCTGATAAAGTTTAGCTTCTCTAGGATGGTATATTTACAATCAGAGAAAGAGAATATCTGGTATTTGCAATGACCTGTGCCTTCTTTTTACCACCCTCTTGATTGGAGCTTTTGTGATGCAGCTACCATGATCAAAACAAAACAAAAAAAAAGTTGTTTTTTTTTAAGCCACTTTCTAAAGCCCACTAGAGGCCACTGTCTTCAAAGCTTTCCCTCACCATTGCTAAAGGTCGGAAAAGGAGACAGCTGTGAAGTTGGGAGTGCTGTGTGGTACCAGCTGTGATCTTTAAGTTCTCCTGGTTTTCAGTTGTTCTTCATGAAACTAGAAATGTCACCCCTGCTTGATTTTTCACCCGCCAAGTTAAACCCCTGCCTTCTGTCCTTTGCACCTTTTGCGTGAACAGAATATGCATTATTAAAGCAAAAATAAATAAAGTAAAATGCAAATAAACACAGGGGGGAAAGTTGTGTTATTTCCTGCACTGGGTTATCTGTGTGTGTCATCGTTTAAACTGTAGCCACAGAATGTCCTTTGCCTTGCTCTTGTAACCCCTTCCTCAGGTCAAAGAGAATGAGGGAGGGTCGTGTTGACTTGTAGCCCCTTGGCTCTTTCTTGCATTTATGGAATTGCTTTCTCCTTCCCAAGGAACCTAGTGTTTGCGTGTCTGCTTTATCTTTGTAGCAAATGAACAGTTCAGCCTTAGATTATGTAATGGTTTGCTCATCCTTAGCCAAAAATAAGGGTCATTGCTGTATTGCAAGATTGTTGAGGGGTGGGAATATCCCTTAATAGCCCCCAAAGATGTTTTATGTGTTTCTAAAAAGTTGCTTTGTCTATTTCCTGAGTTTTATAGTGAAACTACTAAACTTCAATAGATTTGCACAACTGTAACGAATGGGAATTGATGCCGCAGAAGGAATGATGAAACAAAGAAGTCATCCCGTGTTAAAGATCATTGAAAGTACTGCAAATCAGTGTCTCTTCCTTTCTCTTCCCTCTTCTCCCTCTTATAAGACATCTGCCTACTACATCTGTCCATTGGAGACTGTTGCTTCCCTCCTCCCTCCCAGGGTTTGCAGAGCCCTCCCAGACCAGCTCTGGTCTTCTGGGCTGAGGAACTTGAGGAAAGGGAATGTGCACAGAATGCAGCCTCACACCCTCGGGTCCCAGGCCTGGCTAGACTGTCTTTTCAGCAGCCTTGGACTCTGGGCTTCTTGAGGCCAAGAATGCCAAGTTTCCCAGGCAGTATCAAGTGTTCCCTTGCCCTTGCCCTTTTGAAACATTTATATGTTGAACTTGAAGCCTTCAGAGATTTCCCACAACCTAAGAGAAGAGTCCTGGTGTGGTGCTGCAGGATAATGTGCTGGACTGCAAAGTCAGCAGTTCAAACCCACCAGCCGCTCCTCAGATACCCTATACAGAGTCACTATGAGTCGGAACCGACTCAGAGGCACTTAACAAGAGAGGAATGAGGATTGAAGTCTTTGACATTTGGATTTCTCATTTCCTGGTCATTAAAACCTCTAATGATATAGTTTTGTATAATGTGTATACAGAGTAGGACTGTTAATTGATCGAGGAGTCAGTGCACTTTCCTGGGGCACTGGCAACATGCAATGTGGAGGGAGGGCTGGCGTCATTCCCTCATAGCAGCATTGGCTTCCTTGGTACAGGGAGAGGGAGAAGCCATTCTAGAAGAAGTTGGTGTGTCCAGCTTCGTTGTGGTTTCCAAGGCTAACCAACAAGAGAATTGTGCATCATGGAGCTGGATGAGCCGCTTGAACAGCCACCACCATCTTTATTGTTTACTTTGTAAAAGGGACCTGTTGAGAAGATTGAAAAGCTTGGAAGTATCACTCTTAACAAAAAATTCTTTTGCATTCAGCATGGACTCTACCAGGCATTTCTTGGAGATTATTTTTTTGCTTCATTTTCTAAAGTTGTATTTAGAAAAGTGTTAAGTATTGTGCTTTGTAAAGATGATTAAAATGAAATTTTGTGAAAATATTTTTGCTCAAAGTTGTCATGGTCCAAGAGGAATGATGTCTTAAAATACAAACCATTTTTCTACATTTTCTACATTTTGATTGCTCTAACCAAAATGTCTGTAAAAGACACAAAATACAGTGCCCCCCCCATCGTTCCCATGCAAACAGAAATAATCCATTAAAAGCTGCAGATGTGAATTCCATTTTTCAAATTGTTCAATTTAAAATTCATATTTTAAACAGAAAATGCTAGCTAGGTATAAAATTATTTTTAACATCAACATTAAACTATCATTATTTGAATAATTGTGTAAAGCCACCTTTATTCATACATAGCCCTACAGAGAACGTACTCAAGCACATGCGGGGTCTGATCTCCCATAAAGACAGCCTGTGTCTGTCAGCCATGTGTCTTAGTTACTAATGGTGGGGTTTTCTTTTCTTTAATAACCAGCTCCTTTGGGGAAAAACTGAGGGTGTATAATTTATTGCTCATAGTTGCCAGGGTCTCTATAAAACTAATCCCCAGGTTCCACAGAGTCCTTTATATTATAACCTGAGATCACCATTGCCCCCTTTTTGTATTAGATTTTAGCCCTGTAGTTATTTTAGCACAAATTAATGTTAAGATGTTTTAGCCCAAGGGAGCTTGGTGAAAAGCTTTGCTATTTGGTTTGGTATAAATGAGAACTGTAAAAAGCAATGCCCGGGTGGGTGACAGGTGCCCAGCGTGGTTGATTGAGTGTCCTGCAAAAGGAGGACTTGAGGTTTAGGCCCAAAGGTGCTGTGGTCTGTTCCCAAAATTCGTTCTATTGAAGGACCTCATCGGCCAAGGCCAAAAAAACTTTCCCAGCCAGAAATTTATGTTTAAGGAAAGGGAAAGGGATTGTATTTCTCATGGGCATGAACTTGTTGTTGTTGTTGTTTTGCCTTCTATCCCTAAGGCCACCAAAGCTTGGTTCCCAACATATAGTCCTGAAGCCAAGGAGTATCCAAGAATTAGCTGCAGGTCCACAAGGTGGTTTTACTTCATGCCTTGACCACAAACAGCTGTGTGTGCTTTTCAGGCTTAAGGATTGGGAATTCACAGTAACATGGGCAATTATGTTTTTCTTCATGGAGCAATAGGTGATATTTCAAACAGTAAATAAACCTATCTATTAGATTGTATCTCGAATTTTCTGAAGGAAAGTGGGTTGGGGAAGGCTGAGCTAGTGAAGAGCTGAACTTCCAGAGAACCAGCATCATGGGACTTTTTTGTGTTTTTTTTAATGGCTGTTGTTAGGTGTCCTTGAGTTCGTTTAGACTCACAGTGTGACAGATTAGAAATGACCCATAGGGCAGACAGATGAGTGCTTAACCATTGTGCCACGAGAGCGCTCTTTAAAAGGCAACAGGTTTAATTAGATAAATCAGTGTCTTGAAGGCTTCTCCATGACCCCTATAGAATATTATTGTTTTTCAGGAAAAATGAATGCAGAGATATGTTGGCAAGCTTTGAGTAATTTGGTGGAAAGGTGCCCCAGAAATGTAAATTTGCATAATAGTTTTTATTAATTCAATCATGTTAAAAGGTTAACAAACCAATTTTTAAACTGACCAAGTTACTTGGGTCATCCTGAAGCCCAACAGAAAAGCCACAATGACACCAATAACATTTCCAAGGTTATTCCCCAAAAGAAAAGCCGTGATTCCTGACGAGGAAAAATGGAAGAGATTATTCTCTTCAATCTTCCCGACTATTCCTTAGTCCCAAAGAGAAACAAGAGTTTGCCAAAGATTGAAGCTCTGTTATGGGATGTTGAAGGAAAACAGACAGATGGAGATGACTCCTTTATGTGATATGCCCACCCATCCCCCTAAGATTTGGGAAGCCCAGAGGAGATACCCAGTCTACATGGAGGGGAGAATGGTGGGAGTAAGGGCATTTTAGGTTAATTTCTTTTTTTTTTTTCTGTTTTAAATAAGGTTGTGGTAAACATCTTTGAACAGAAATCTCCACCCACATTTCTGATTAGCCCTTAAGAAAATATCTAGAAGTGGATTTACCAATTCAAAATGTAGGTATGAATTAACCTGAGATATTTTACCATAAATCATCTTTGCCTAAATTAATGTTTGGTTGAATGTTAGAAAAGAGTGGCAACTAACAACCTATCTGCCCTGAAATTATATTCACCTAAACTCATAACAACAAAGCTCAGTTGGGTGTCAGGTCTGGACTCTTTCCTTCTGACCTCGGATCCAATGACATCTCTTCCTTAATCCCACCTGTGAGAGATCCCCCTAGCCTCCACTCCCCCTCCCCCTCCCCAGATCTGCACTCAACTTCACTTGGCCTGCTAACTTGTCTGTCTGCTTCTCCCCTGCCTAGAATGAACCACCCTGAAGGTAGTGATTTTGTTTTCTTCACTGCTGTATCTAGAACGATACCAGATGAATAAAAAGCACTAGAGAAGTATTTCTTGATGACTTCGTCATTGTAACTGATGCCAAGTGGTATTTATTCTATAAATCTGAGCAGCCCAGTTTTACCTTCACTAAAATTCTGGAACAAAACGAGCATTAGAGAGGATTGCAACTAAAGAAAGTGCTTCCGAGGTACTTCACCTGTTTGGGGAGAGTCTCAGCTAACACCAGACCCTAAGGAGAGGGCAGGGGTGGAT